GGGGATGTGGAGAAAGGGGAACCCTCTTACACTGTTGGTGGGAATGTGAACTGGCGCAGCCACTCTGGAAAACTGTGTGGAGGTTCCTCAAAGAGTTAAAAATAGACCTGCCCTACGACCCCGCAATTGCACTGTTAGGGATTTACCCCCAAAGATTCAGATGCAATGAAACGCCGGGACACCTGCACCCCGATGTTTCTAGCAGCCATGTCCACAATAGCCAAACTGTGGAAGGAGCCTCGGTGTCCATCGAAAGATGAATGGATAAAGAAGATGTGGTTTATGTATACAATGGAATATTACTCAGCCATTAGAAACGACAAATACCCACCATTTGCTTCGAAGTGGATGGAACTGGAGGGTATTATGCTGAGTGAAGTAAGTCAATCGGAGAAGGACAAACATTATATGGTCTCATTCATTTAGGGAATATAAAAATTAGTGAAAGGGAATAGAAGGGAAGGGAGAAGAAATGGGTAGGAAATATCAGAAAGGGAGACAGAACATAAAGACTCCTAACTCTGGGAAACGAACTAGGGGTGGTGGAGGGGGAGGAGGGCGGGGGGTGGGGGTGAATGGGTGACGGGCACTGAGGGGGGCACTTGACGGGATGAGCACTGGGTGTTATTCTGTATGTTGGCAAATTGAACACCAATAAAAAATAAATTTATTATTAAAAAATAAAATTAAATAAAAAAAAAAATAAAATTTTAAATCTTCAAAAAAAAAATTGAACCATTCAGCTTATCCCACCAAAACCCAAAGACAAACAAAAAACATAATGTGGAAAAAAAATTAAAAAAAAAAAACAAAGACATAATGTGGTTTTCATGAAAATGAGAAAGTACTGAGTCATTTTGCCTGTTTTTATACATTTCTGTCAATATTGCATTACAATAAGATACCATCATGTTCTTCACAGGGCAATTATAAAGTTTGTTTTTCAATTTTTACAGACTTCCTAAAGGCTTCTCTTAAATATTTCACAACAAAATTATCACTTTAAAAGTATATCATATATCATATATATTTTTTTTTACATTTTGTATTTCAGTTGTTAACTAATCTAACTCCAGCAGATTTCTATGTAATTTGAGGAGTTCTACAATGTTCTTTTTACTAACAATGAGATCTTGTAACTTTTTCAAGATCTACACTTAATCCCTGCAACCCATTTGCACTAAATTTGCATTAGGTTGCTGCAATCCAACAATCATCTAGAGATTTATTTACAAAAACTTTGCTGATATGGGAAGAAATAGATGCTATACAGAGAATGTTGTTTGGGGTCAGATGTTGGGAACTAGTCCGATAAATGCTCAATATATTTGTGCATGTTTTCCTATTATGCCAATTTTTTTCATGCAGATTTGTAAGTTTGGGATCTTATAATTATGACAGCTTGTTCACTTCTTGCAATACAGACCCAGAAAGTTTGAATGACTTGCCTGAGGGACACAGATCAAATGTTAGACAGCAAACCTATGTATTCTTAATCCATATTATTTTAAAACACCATAAGGAAGGAGAATGTAGACATGGTCTCAGACATTTCATCCAATCCCAGCATAATAGTTCTCTACTCCACAGACCACATAAACTTAATCCTTTATTTCTCCTTTGTACAATGCATAAATTTGATTAATTTATGATCTGATATATTTTTATTATAAATAATAGGAAAATAGGCTTTGGTTTAGTATAATAAAAAATGTCCTGTCATCTTAGTAAATACTGAGTGACTTACAAAATAATATTTACAAAATCTTTTTATGTTTTTGAAAAATTAGTATACACTTTTAGTATATGGGAGTTAACATTCTGCTGTAATATACATGGTGAACATGATGGTTGCTTGGAACATTTCACTGTCCTCAAGAGGGACATGGTAAAATAAAATTGCTATTCTACTTGCGACCATGCTCTGCTGTAAATAAAGCACATTGAACTTTATAGTCAGAAGAGAGGGTTTATTCTGAATTGGACTCATTAACCAGAGCTTGAGATAAATCATTATCTTTTGACTCCTAGCTTCTTCACTTGTAAAATAATGATGAAAGCAGGGTGACTTCAAAAGCTCCTTCACTTTCCTTGATCATACCATTACACAATTCATTTTCTGAATTTAAAAGAGCCACACGAGGAAGGAACCACCTCATACAGGTATGTAAAATAAATTGAGTATAAATTGACTCAGCCTTTTGGATTTGATAGGACACTATCTAAATATACATACTCTTTGAGCCAGCAATTCCATTTCAAGGAGCCTAACCTACTGCAATACTCCCACAAGAGCATGAGAAAGTATGCGCAAAGATAATGGCCATAGCACTGTTTGCAACAATGAAGGACTGGAGGTAACTTATATATCCATAAATAGGGTAGCAATGATCGTGTCATCCATATTCTAGAATACTGTGATGCAGAATTACATGGAAATTAACCATGAGCAATATGTGTGTATCTGAAAAAGACTACATTGAAAAATTCTATATTAGAGATTCATTCAACTTTTGTTAAAAAATCAAAGTTCATATTTTCAGAATATAGATTTTAAATATATATAAGCAAATATCTACATGCACATATATGTGAATATATACTTTTATAAGTATACATGTGTATCTCTACATATTCTTTCAGTAGTTTATGTACACATGGTTAATGTACAACAAAAATTTTACACCTATAATGAGGACTTCTCTTTAAATAGCACCTTTTAAAAAATAATAAAAATAATAGCACCTTTTTTCTAGTTAATGAACTCTTAAGATGTTGACCTAATTCTTTTCCTAAATATGCCACGTAAAAATTCTTTAAAAATAATGCATTTTAGGTGCCTGTATAGAGCAAATACACAAAATGAAAGTGTTGTACAAAATGTCAACAGTAGATGGTACACACTTGCTCTTCTTAAACCAGCTTTGCTGTTTGAAGAAAATGAACAACCACCAAATAAACATACAAAACCCATCTAAATCATGAACAGTTTAACAAATGAGAATTCTTAAGAAATAATGAAATAAGTCAATAATCCCAATCTAATTTCTTATAAGTGATCTTCTACCATTGCAGAGTTTGGTTTCAGAATTGAGTAAAAACAATGGTAGCAACAAAATTCCAAAATTTTCATCACTATACCACAAAAACTACTAACAGAATGCTTGTCAGAAGTCAGCTGAATGTCATTAAAGGAGTCTGTGGTGCATAACGAGACCCAGCTTTGTATGACCCTATTATCACGTCTAGGTGGATGATACTGGAGAAAGATGGGAAAAGAATATAACCAAAGTTACAGTGACAGTTTTTTAATTCTATAAATTCACCATTAATGAGGGCCCTACTTATGACAAAGGACCTCTGTTTCAAAATAATCCTTCCCTCTTTAACTCAAAACTACTTCATCATGAGAAGGGAAATCCAGAAGTGGTCTCAAACAAAGCTGCAATCTTACTTTCAGCAATAGCTATATTCTTTTTAAAATTTCACTCCTGGGTGGGGGGGCACATGGGTGGCTCAGTGGTTGAGCATCTGCCTTCAGCTCAGGGAGTGATCCATGATCCCAGGATCAAGTTCCACATCGGACTCCCTGTAGGGACCCTGCCTCTCCCTCTGCCTCTCTCTCTGTGTCTCTCATGGATAAATCAATAAAATCTTTAAAAAAGTAGCATAAAATAAAATAAAATTTCACTCCTGGGGCTCCACACCATAATTCCTAAAACAAAATCTCTGAAGATGGCCAAAGGCCTTGATGAATCAGTGGTTCTTTCAATAAATCATATTCATTCATGAGTTCATGACTTGAAGCTTTTTTAGAACTCTTCATCCAATAAGCTGCCTCATCCATTTATAAATATCCTTTTTATATTTATAAAAATGTAGGTTTTAAATTATGAACTGACCAACTAGAAGAGCCATAGGGTCAAAGGAAATTAAAAAAAATTCAATCTTCAATTTATGTACATTCTTACTGCAGAAATATATTTACTTAAGCAACAAAAAAATGGTTCATTCCAATGTAAAAACATATTTAATTTCGATAAATTCTACAGGATAAATAAGATAGAAATACAAGCTTAAGTAGAAAAAATAATGTAAAATTTCCACCTGCTAATGAAAGCTCATTTGTATATCTTTCCAAATATATGAGGTTGGTATCAAAAAACTGATATTTTTATTCCAGTAGACATGCTTAGAGAGTTATATTAATTTCAAGACGTCAACATGTGCAATATGTTAGACATCAGAGCTTCCCAACTATTTGAACTTTTGATGAAACTATTTCAATGTCAAATTTAAAATGTGTGAGTGTGTATATGGTTTTCAAAGCACTTCTAGAATTATTGTAGGCCATCGCCCTGAACTACAAGTTTACAGAAGACAAGAGGGTTGGCTAGTCTATGCCCTAAAGTGAATGCTCTCCTTCAACAGTATTTGCTTCAAATCATAGACATATATCCCATAGTGCTAAGCCTCTTCATATAATTATAGCTTCCAAGAAAAAAAAATATGTTTGGAAATACTCCTGTTTTAGAGACTATATATGACAAACTAAGGGCTTTTAAGAATTTATTAATTCTTGTAAAAGAAGTTCAAAAATCTGATTTTTAAGTGCATTCATTGTTAGAACTGCTGGTAGAGCTCCTTTGTTTGCCAACATGATTTTGAAAAGTTTTTCCAATGATCATCTGATACGTGATATCAGAATGAATATCCATTTTAATATGGGTCCATGCAAATTTGAAAGTAGGTTGGAGAGTATTACTCATAAATACTTTAATAGACTTTTTTAAAGCTAATTTTTAATTATTGATGTTAAAGCTATGTGAGGTGGTCCCTGCGTTGCCTACTCCTTTGCTAGTGATAATTGAGTGTTTAAGTGACTTTGTAATTTGTAAACCCATTCCCAAATTTGTCTTTAAAAACTACATGTGATGACTTGAGAATATTTTAATTTGATCCTTAGCCATAAGGCAAATTTCCTGAGCACTAGTACTTACCCTCTGTTACATTTTGCTATTTCATCAAACAGAAGTTTCCACCGAGGACGTCCAATAAAAAGTCTTGAATTCAGTGCTTGATATTTTTCTCCAATTATCTTCTGCAAAAAAGAAAGCACTATATTTTATATGACCCAGAATTGGATGAATAACCCATTTCTCTAACATCATTTCTACTGGTGCTGTGGCTTCCTACCAAATTGCTGTGATATCAAGACTATAAGTATTAAATGGCAAGCAATTAAGTACAGTCATTTTGAAGCATCATTTCCTTCCTCTTTTCCTTTAAAATTCATTATCTTCTTGAATGCCATTATTACAAATGGCTGATTTTCCTAGACTTCAGTTAGTTGCTTCATTTTTAACAACTGCAATGTTAAAGAATGCATTTTAACTGCCTACTCTCAAAATGGGTGCAGCACAATAACTTTATTGAAGTGTTTTTTACACTGCAAATACAGTTGTCTTATTTGGTTCATTATATGAGTAAAACACTACAAATTGTCATCATAAATTTGGGGAAATGATCCCAAACAAGACAGTCTAAGACAGAAGAGCTCCAAATCTTGGGTCTATAAACAAATAGCTTCTAATGGGCTGGCGTTTGCAATGAACAGAACATTAGATCTGGATCAACAATGAAGGGTCAGTGAGAAGAGGGGACAAGTGTCTGAGTCCCAGGTTGACAAACTGAGAACCAATGCGATTTATGCTCCATACCTTAATTATAGCCATACCATGAAGAATAATGTTATTGACTTGCTTCACGAGAATAGTAAAATGAAATATTTTTTTACATACCAAGTAAGGTAGAAATATGACTAAAAAAATAGGGTTAGATTAGTTTTGAAGTAACTGACAAGCATTCATGTTTTGTATCCAAAATATTATGGAAAATGTATAATGGAAAATACTAAAATAAAACTTGCGAAAGCATTCATGCCCAGATTTACACACCTACGTAGCACTTCAGTGTCATCTGTAAACATCAGTTTCTTCATCTATAACATGAGTATAGCACTATCATCTTGGCACTATCTACCTCTTGGATCTGTTGGAATTACACAAGATAATGAATATGAAATGCTTAGCACGGTGTGTTGCACAGTAAGAAAATAACACATGATGGATACTACTACATTTTTAGTTTCCCTTAAAGAAAAATAAGCACGTGATGGATACTACTACATTTTCAGTTTCCCTTAAAGAAAAATAAGCTTAACTACATATGACCGTATCTTGTCTCTGCACATAAAAATTCCCCTCGATGAACATAATCATGAGACTGTTCACTTATGGTCCTATCTCTAGAGGTAAAGGATTTGAAACAACAGTGAAAAGGAGAGATGAATGCAAAGGTCTGTACCAGCTCCCTGTGAGGAGGACAAATGAAAGGCAGAACACAGTTGGCTTCAAGGACAAGCCATGGGTTTTTTGGACACACTCCAAAAGAGGCCTTCCTCTGGGAAACTTCTCTTTGAACCACCTGCAGAAATTTTCTTCCAGCACAGCCCCTACTGTAAATCTTCTATTATCAAGAGGCCTGTTTAATTTATAAAAACATCTAACTACATACCTGTATCCCATCTGTTTGACTGAGGTACAGCTGGATGTTGACATAGTCAGGTCTGTTCTCTTGCCAAAACTGAGAGGACATAAAAGTAAATAGACATGAGAATTTTCTCTGTATGCTCAGACTGTCTCCTATTCTAACATATGTGATTCTACAGTTTAAGATGTATCTTGTCTAATCACAGTCAACATTTACAAGCAATATACATACCAGATGCTAATATTAATAACCTATGCCTCCTGACAGAATTAGTGTAAGCAGTAGGAGGAGGAGCGATAAGGGAAGAGTAGATGGTAGTAGTATAAGAGAATAATTCTGTTATCTTTATCGATATAAAATCAAGCATACTAAATACAACATTGATATTACCTGAAATCCTTCCATATACATCTTAATTTATTCTCCAAGAGTCTCTAAATTATGGCCAAGAGCTCACTCATAAAGAATATGATTTTCTTAAAAAAAAAAAAAGGAAACCACAATAATAGTATATAATATGCATGCTAGGAATCACAAAAAAACAAAACAAATAAAAACAAAGACAAAAGGCTCAGTTCCTGTTTCTGCCTTGTTCCTTCTCAGTACTGGTTTTCCTTGTACAAAAATGTATGGGGCAGGAAATACCACCTGTCAAAGAAAAAATAGTCTGGAAAAAATCTCAAACATTTCAATACCTTGAAAAGTAAAATAAGAAAAATATTATCTGGAGGAAAATAAACTCAACAAAGGTGGTAAAAGAGTTGTTGTCATCCCTATACACTTCTTTTTTTCCTTTTTTCTTTTCATTCAAAAATCAAACTACTAATAATTGACCTGATTCTGACTGGCTCCTGACTTCTCAAATCTATTCTTTTAAAAATATTTTTGCACCCAAAACTAATGTTACACTATATGTTAATTAACTGGAATTTAAACAAAAACTTAAATTTTTTTTTAAATTTTAAAATATTAAAAAAATTACATAAATATTATTTGAAATAGTTAAAAATTTATGTATTTTTTTATTTTTATAAGTATTTTTCTTAGGGCTTCCTTTCACCACCCTGACATAAAGAGAAGCTGAAAGATAAGGACCAAGCATCAAAGGTGGAAGAAGAGGAGAGGAAGCATGGTCGGCTCCTTAGAGAACAGAGAGGAGGTGCGAGGTATGGATCTGAGTGTCTGAGGTGACAGGACTTTTTCAAAAGCCTAACCATTTCTAGAGCATAAATCGGCATACTGGGCTTGCTTGAGATGGTAAGGTTTTGCTGGACTTTATTGCAGCAAGATCAACTGATTTAAAGTACTGTTTCTGTATAGTGTAATGATGTTCATAGCAGCATTATCTACAAAGCCAAACTATGGAAACAGCCCAAGTGTCCATCGATTGATGAATAAAGACATGGTGTATATATGTACAATTGAATATTACTCAGCCACCAAAAAGAATGAAATATTGCCATTTTTAATGATGTGGTTAGAGCTAGAGTCTTACGTTAAATGAGGGAAGTCAGATAAAGACAAATACCATATGATTTCACTCACTTAAGAAACAAAACAAATGAGTAAAGGGGAAAAAAAAGGGAGAGACCAAACATGAAACAGACTTTTATCTATAGAGAATAAACTGATGGTTACCAGAGGGGAGGTGGGCACAGGGAAGGGTGAAATAGGTGATGGAGATTAAGGAGCTCACTTGTTGCGATGAACACCTGGTGATATATGGAAGTGTTGAGTCACTAAGTCATATTCCTGAAACTGTATGTTGTATGTTAGCTGTATGTAGCTAACTGGAATTTAAATAAAAAACAAAAGTAAATAAATAAATAAATAAAGTAAAATGAAATTTTAAAAATGACATATTGTGACTCAAAGTAGAAGTTTCAGGAATGCAAAAAAGTCACATTGTAAATGGGGGGGGGGTGACTAAGCAGGGTTTCATCAGCCCTCTGGCACCTCTGAGCCCCCTGCAGGTAGCTGACTTATTCTGTTGCCACCACGATCTGGTCCTGAGACTTCTAAGGAGTTATTGACTCATCTAGGCCTCCATTTTTTCATTAGGACAATGATGATGGGGTTGAATGCTATCATCTCCCAGATCTCTTTTCAGATCTAAAATGATACAATTTCTGACAGGTGTCAACTCTATAAAATCCCAATAAAGACACAGTTTACTTTTAAGGGTGATGTGATGATTATCAGCTCCCATAATATTCTTAAAATACTAAATTATATCCAAATGCTGCCTCAAGTTAAATCCAAATGCTAAATTCATTCTTAGGTCCTTTCTGAATTGAATCACGGTTTACGGATTTTAATTGTGAAGAAATAGGAATTTCTAGATGCCATTAATGAATAGCACCTCACAAAACACATGGCTTGCATTGATTCTTGTCTTAAATGAACAGGATGCTGTTCTGAAATCAGTCCTATGACTCCTGCAACTGTTTGGTATCCATGGCCCCAAGAGCTATGCAAATTTGGATAGTGTGGGACACCTGGGTTGCTCAGCGGTTGAGCGCCTGCCTTCAACCCAGGGTATGATCCTCAAGTCCCAGGTCGAGTCCCACATCAGGCTCCCTGCATAGAGCCTCCTTCTCTCTCTGCCTATGTTATGTCTGTCTCTCTCTCCCTCTCTGTCTTTCTCTCTCTGTGTCTCTCATGAATAAATAAATAAAATCTTTACCAAAAAAATTTGGATAATGTTTTTTAATGATTTCAATGTCTCCACTTTAACTTACCACTCACTGAAGACAATATCTATGAAAGGCACGATTTTCTCCAAATAAAGGAACAGTGAAAAAAATAGGTATGTGGATCAACACAATCTTGCAAATAGACAAGGCTTGTAGGATCATGCACGAATATTATGGTTTTCATTTTCATTTCTCCTGTCTATACTTTTACTTATTTTTATCACAAATAAAAAATAACAGGATGTGAGTCCTGGGAGGAATTTTACAGATTACTACTAGGAATCACAGCAATTATTTATTAAATGCTTTCAAAATGATAGATACTTTAGATATATGTTAAGGCTAAGTCTCACATTGGGTTTCAAGTGCTATTAGCCTCCTTCACAAATTGGAAGCATAAATCAGGTTTATAGAGGCTAAGTGATTTATCCAAGGACTCGCAGTTCATAGGAAGTAGAATCACTGTTCCATTGTAAATGACAGATTCCAAATGCCTGATGCAGCCCTGATCCCTTATTTTGATTTTCCCAACATGACCTACAGCGGTGAAGTGACTTGAAGCAAGTCACATCGTTAGATACTGGCAGAGCTGGTACAGGATCACCTGACACCTGGCCCTGCACTCTTCAATCACCAGGTTGGACAATCCGGCCAAGCAAGATCTACCTAAGACTCATTTTTTTCATCATTGCAGATAGTCTGACACCAAGACAGAGTGACTAGGGCAACTAAGATAGCTTTGTCCTCGGCATTCTAGAATGATGTGAAAGACCTCACAGCTGGAACAAGATTGAAAGACTATATTTTCATTTGATTTTCAAAAACAGATTTACCTGCTTTTACACAGACTGTAGGCAACATCACTATGCTTTATTGCTGTTGATCTCTTTCTTTCTCTCTTTCCCCTCACTCATATTCTCTCTCTCTCTCTCTCTCTCTCACACACACACACACACACACACACACACACACACACTGAGCTTGGTAACCCAGTTACAAACACATCATCCTCAGAGGCACAACTGAAAGACCAGTGTTCAACCTGCTGATGCCAAAAATCAAAACAGATGCAGAGGTGTGAGTAGAAGATAATCATCACTGTATTATTTATACTAGTTTTAGGGTTTTAATTATTTACTCCATGGAATTCTAAAGGTAAAGCACATCCATCAAAAAAACTTGAAATGGAAAGAATACATAAATCTTAAAGATTCAACTCCTGTGAAGGTCCAGCCACTTAACATTCTTTTCTTTTCTTTATTCCTTTCCTTCCCTACTACAAAAAAGTACAAGTTCTGTATATCAGTTCAAGAAAGATTAAAAATTAGAAAAACAAAGGTAGAATTAGGAAATCCCAGAAATAATATAACTGGTCAATAATCACAGGAAGAGAGTTTTTTTTTTTTTTTTTTTTTTGGAAGAGAGGTTTAACCCCACTAGCATTGAGAAGAAAACAGAATGAGATCTCACTGTTTGAGACTGGCAGAAATTTAAGATATTGGTAATAAAAGATTTTAGAATAAATGTCTCTCATACTCTTTGGTATGGAAGCTGTTTTATTCTCTCTGGAGAGTGTTTTGTCAGTACACATTAAAAATTTAAATTCATTCACAACTTCCTCATGACCTCTGACTTAGAAAGTAGTCTTGGGGATCAACCCAGGAAAAAATACAAATTTGAGAGTAGTGATTTTGCTCTTCTTGAAAGTTTTTCCTCTGTTAGCCCCAAAGACAGAACTCCCTAATGGTTTTCCTCCCACCTTCCTGGCCAGTCTGACTGATCTTTGTTGACTCTTACTCATCTTTGAGCCTTCAGAAATTGCAGCATGCCAGAGCTTGGTGTTTTCACACACAGTTCTAAGATCTACACTTAGATCAATCTCGCTCAAATCCTTTCAATGTCTTCTCATCCCTCCCTTTATTTTCCCCTCCTGATTCAGCAGGTCCTAGATCAGTCCCAGGAATCTGTACTTTTTTTAAAAAAAAACTGTGGTCAAATATACATAACAAACTACTATTTTAACTGTTTTTTTAAGTATGCAGTTCAGTGGCATTAAATACACATTGTTGTGCAGCCATCACTGCCATCCATCTCCAGAATCTTGTCATTTTTTTAAACTGAAACTCCATACCCATCAAATAATAATGCACTATTCACGTCCCCTGAGTCCCTGGCACCCACCAGGGACTGACTGTGTCTATGAACTAGAACTCTCCATATCTTGTATAAATAGAATCATACAATATTTGTCCTTTTATGTCTGATTTAATTCACTTAGTATAACGTTTTCGAGGTTCATACATATTCTATGTCTCAGAATTTCATTCTCTTTAAGGTTGAAATATTATTCCACTATACGTATATGCCACATTTTCTTTATCCATCACCAGGCGTTTGGGTTGTTTGGCTATTGTGAATAATGCTGCTATGAATATCAGTGTTCAAATCTCTGCTTTCAGTTCTTTTGGGTATATCTCTAGAACCTATTTTTTTTTTTTTTGCATAAAATCCAAAGACCTTTTGTAATCCACTTCCTCCCCCAGGAAAGCATACACACCACCTGATTGCTTCTCTTACTACTTGACTCCTTGCTTACTCTGGTTTGCCCACACAGATTTCTTTCATCTTCCTCCCAGCATACTACTATATCAGAGCCCCAGCCTGTGAGTTAGGTCCCTTTCTCCACAAGATTTCCACCTAGTCTGTTCATTCACCTCACTCAGGTCTCTGCTCAAATATTATTTGGGGAGGAATGTATTCCCAATTACACAATATAAATTAGCATGTCCTTGATGGTTTACTTTCTGTTGCTTTATCCACTTTCCTTTCCTCCCTTGCCCTAATCAGAATCAGACATCCTGGGCAGCCCTGGTAGCTCAGCGGTTTAGCACCACCTTCAGCCCAGGGTAGGTTCCTGGAGACCCAGGATTGAGTCCCATGTCACGCTCCCTGCATGGAGTGGAGCCTGCTTCTCCCTCTACCCATGTCCCTGCCTCTCTCTCTCTCTGTCTCTCATGCATAAATAAATAAAATCTTTTTTCAAAAAAAGAATCAGACATCCTATTTATTTATTAGTTTGTTGTCTATCTTCCCCACTTAGGATGTAAATCACATGAGATCAAAAAATTGTTTTTCATTTTGTTCTCCAATGTTGCTCCAGGTCCTACAATAGTTTGTGATTCATAGCAGGCAATGAGTGAATTTTTGATGAGTGACAGAATGACTGAATAAATGAGTATCTGCATAGAAAGACACATATGAGGGGCACCTAGGTGGCTCAGTGGTTGAGCATCTGGCTTTGGCTCAGGGCATGATCCCAAGGTCCTGGGATCAACTCCTGCAAAAGGCTCCCTGGAGGGCGCCTGCTTCTCATTCTGCCTATGTCTTCTCTTTCTTGCTGTCTCTCATGAATGAATAAATAAAATCTTAAGACAAACAAACAAACAGACACATATGATATTCATTGGTCTTTTTTTTTAGATTTTAAATATATATATATATATATATATATATATATATACACACACACACACACATTTATTTATTTATTTATTTATTTAGATACTGCACGAGCAGGGGGTGGGGCAGAGGGAGAGAGAGAATCACAATTAGACTCCATACTCAGCATGGAGCCCAACTTGGGGCTTGATCCCATAACCTTCAGATCATGACCTGAGCTGAAAACAAGAGTCAGACTCCTGACTGAGCCACCGAGGGGCCCCATAATTGCAGTGTTCTTTATAATAAAAAAGTAAATATCCATCATTGAGGAATGGTTAAATTACTAAGTGCTTCCATAGTACAAAATATAGCAATAAAAAGAATGAGGTAACTTTATACATACTATTATTAAAAATGTTCAAGACATAGTGATAAGTTTAAAATAAGCAATTCAGGGGCACCTGGATGGCTCAGTGGTTGAGCATCTGCCTTTGGCTCAGATTGTGATCCCAGGGTCCTGGGATCGAGTCCTGCATTAGGATCCCCACAGGGAGCCTGCTTCTCCTTCTGCCTGTGTCTCTGCCTCTCTCTGTGTGTCTCTCATGAGTAAATAAAATCTTTAAAAATCAAAAAATATAAATCGATAAATAAGCAATTCATAGAACAATACAAATAGTATGGTAGAATTTTGTAGAACACTTGTGAGTTTCCTCTTGATTGGGTGGGGAAAGAAGTACGGGAGAATTTGGTTTATCTGAATTATTTGACAGTTTTCCAAAGAAGGCATACAAATGGCCAAGAGACACAGGTCAAACTCCTCAATATTACTAATCATTGTGGAAATGCAAATCAAAATCACAATGAGGTATCACTTCACATCTGTCAAAATGGCTAGTAACAAAAAGAAGTAAAAGTGTTGGTAAGAATGTGGAGAAAAGAGAATCTTCATGTACTATTGGTGGAAATGCAATCACTGTGGAAAACAGTATAGAGGTGCATTGAAAAATTAAGAATGGAAATACCGTATGATCCAGTAATTCCACTACTGGATATTGACCCACAGAAAATGAAAACACTAATTTGAAAAGATATATGCACACCTATGTTTATTGCAGCATTATCTACAACAAGCAAGATAAGGAAACAACCTACGTGTTTACTGATATATGAATGGATAAAGAATATATATGTATACACACACACAAAAGAAATAAATCTTGTCATTTGCAATAATATGGATTGACCTAGAGGGTATTATGCTAAGTGAAATACGTCAGAGAAAGACAAATACTGTATTATTTCACTTATATGTAGAGTCTAAAAAACAAAACAAACACACATACAGAAATAGGGTCATAAATACAGAGAACAAACCGGTTCTCAAAGGGAAGGGGGGCAGGGGGATTAGTGAACCAGGTGAAAGGGACTGAGAGGAACAAGCTTCCAATTATGAAATAAGTAAGTCACAAGGATGAAAATTACAGCATAGGGTATATAGTCAATAATATATTATGATAACTTCATATGGTGACAGATTATAACTACATGTGGTGAGTGGTCTGTAATGTGTAGTGGTTGATTCATTATGTAGTACACCTCAAACTAATATACTTCTGTATGTAAGTATACTATGATTTACAAGAAAAAGGAAAAAAATGCAGCAAATATGCCTATGTATTGCTTGTATAATTTGAAAAAATAAAGATACGTATATCAATAAACAAAGGGTTATGTGTAAGATAGATGAAGAATGCCTGTTTTTATCTCTGTAAGAAATAAAATTTAGAATTTATGATTTTTGAAATTCTGCCAGAGTGCCAAAAGTCTGGTGATGGTCCATTTGTAATACGAAAGGTGGAAATAAGAGATTAGTGCTAACAGAAAAAAGTATGGAAAGTATAGTAGCAATCTGCTGATTGCCCCGTCTTGTCTTCCGTCACCACCCCATATGCAGACATCATCAGCCATATGCCTGTAGTTCTATGTTAAAGTACTCTATGCTAACAAATATTAGCATTTTTATGTAAAACATATCATAGATATACACACATTCCATTGATACCTGAAAATATGTGTACTAAATTATTAATATGCTATGTCCCTACTTGTAAGTTTAAGAGACTTATCTCCATTATTTTCTGGTTTATTCTACAGCAAGCATTGATTGCTTTTGTAATTAGAAAAAAAAATAATTTAAAAAGTTTAAATAGTTTAAAATTTTAAATAATTTAAAACATTTAATTTAAAAAATTGAAAAAGTCAAAACAAACCCAATTTTACCTTGTTATGTAAGACACAGAGTAAGTCTGCAAACCAGCGGAAGGACTGGATGTCTCTGCACACCCAAATAAAATACAGTCTTCTAAGCTTGTATGGTTTCCAGTCATCCCTTTAAAATTAAAAGAACACTATAGTGATGAGGATGGCAAAAAAAGTTAAGAATCCCTGTATCTTTGAAAATTTACTTTTTATTTACTAATGAAAAACCAGTCATTTATTTTTATCATTTTTGTCATGTCATTGCACTTACCATAAGTCCCAAATGAATTTAGAATGTAATGTACTGATTCAAGAGCAAGATATACTCCATGAGTTAAAGTGTTTATATTTGTTTATATTTGTGGCTATTACATGCATATCACCTATTTTCAGTTGAAAGCAAGAAACTAAACTCCTGGATGAGACTATGAGCCCTCTGTCTCAGAAAGTTCTGTATTTTCAGTAAATTCTATCACTCAGCCAGCTCCAGTGATCATTAGTTCATGCCCCTGTCTCCAGGCAAAACGAGCCAAAACCATTCCAGAAAGCTGGTTGTTTATCCCCTTCTTAATAAACATTAAAGAGATGTAACAGTCACCTACTATGTAATGCATTCCAGTGACTCGTAATTCCAAGTCTGGATTCCTATTTATAATTATGAAGTCAGTCTGAGGTTAAGAAAATATTTTCTCTTTTTCTCAACTTTAAATATGTCTGAATAACTCACAGTATGTTTTCAGAAACAAATGATTTTTGGCTTGAAATATGGTTATTTTTCTAAGAACCTCCAAAAAGTCCCAAATTTGTAACACGTATTTAAAATTGAAATAAAATATCATTCAAACACATCATTTCAATTTTATTATTTCCTTTTTAGCACTCTATAAAAGACTTTTAATGCAAATTGTGCCTTCTCGAAAGATGAACAGAATAGATTTGAGAATAATTTCCTACTGTTGTTTTGCTTGTGATTTCATGACAATATTAATCCATTAAGTTTTGCTTATAATCCTAGAACTAAAATAACTGCAATAGTATTTCCTACGTAAGCAAGCTTACATTTGAAAGTTCTATTCTCCAGTCTGTTATAAATTTGCTGAGTAACAGACCAAGTAATCATGTGCTCATTCGTCATCTCCCCAGCAAAGCTTTTCCTGACCATATGGCTACAATGACCCTGGCCCTTTATTCCAAAATCCCATTAATCTCTCTCTTCTTTTTATCAGAGTTCTAATACTTTCTGAAATACTGTTAATTATGAATTTCTTACTGGTTTATTTTTTACTGCTCCATCTGAATATAAGCTTTTTAAAGGCAGGGACTCTGTTTTATTCATAGCTGTCCCTATAGGATGGATTGGCATACAGGTGCTTAACAATATTTGCTGACAGAATGGATGAGGAGTGCCCCTTACCATTTATGAGGAAGAATAGGAATGAAGGCTAGTGTAATGGCTTTAAGAGGGCAGAGGAATGCCTGCTTATGATATTTTACAAGACACCATGCTGAAAGCCATCGACCACACCATGAGAATCCTTGAATTATTACCCTCATCTATCAGTAAATGGAATCCCATGAACAACAAGTATAGTAGTCCCTCCTTATCTGTGGTTTCACTTTCTGTAGTTTTAGTTACCCATGGTCATCCATGGCTGGGAAGCAGATGATTCTCCTCACTTCATATCATCACACAGGCATTTTATAATCTTACCTCATCGCAAGAAGAAGGGTGAGTACAGTACAATATATTTTGAGGAAGAGAGACACCACACTCACATAGCTTTCCTCATAGTATATTGTTATAATTGCTGTTTTATTTGTTATTGTTGTTAATTTTTTACTGTGCTTAACTTATTAGTAAAACTTTACCACAGACATGTATGTATAGGAAAAAATATAATGTATGTAGGGTTCAGTACTATCTGCAGTTTCAGGCATTCCTGGGGATCTTGGAACATACTCTCTATGCATAAGACGGAGGGTTACTGTAGATAAATTTTATGAGGAATGACCTCATACTAAAAGAGGGATGTTTGAAATAGTGACATTTCTCTATTTCAACTAATAAAATGGATCAAAATGACATACAGCAGGGTGTTGAGTATTGATGCAAATGGAGTTACTCCAATGCCTCCAGCCACACAGAGGCTAACCTCGTAGTTCAATGATTCCTCAAATGGACTCCCAAATGGACCATCAATGTATAGCCTGTGAAGAAGGCAGATAAAGGTGGGGAAAGTTAAAAGAAGTTAAATTAATTCTCTGTGATATACAGCAAACATGCTGATTCTAATTTCTAGGCTTTCTATGGCTCAGGCCTTATTTCATTGTTCTCATACTGATAAACCTAAATGAATACAAAATGCTGCGTATGAACTCTCAAAATTAAAACAAGTACATCTATTTCTCAGTCTTCCCTTTTTGAGGCAAACATTAATTAAAAGTATAGAGAAGTGTATATAGGACCATGACAGATAACTAAGGAGAAGGTAAAGCTCTGATTGTATCATATTACTGCATTTGACTAAATTAAAACCAATTGCTTTATTAAGTCTAAATTCAATAAATAAGGTTTTCTTCAATGGCAAAGTCAGTAGCAGAAATATGTACTGAAACATTTACTCTGTGAACAGAAAAGTAATAGAAAAAAAAAAAAAGAAAGAAAGAAACTGTTTCCCTCTTGCCCTAGTAAGGTTTGTTAGTATAGAAATAACTGGATAACTGGAGAACAATATCAAAGAAGTCTCTACTTCCTTGGGATTGTATATTTAAGTGTGTGCGTGTGTGTGTGTGTGTGTGAAAAATTCTTCTTAACTACAACAGAACCTGCTAATTGTTCATTCAATATTTCCCTTCTATTCTTTCTTGAGATATGTTTTTTAAAGATTTTATTTGTTTATTCACGAAAGATACACAGAGAGAGAGAGAGAGAGAGAGAGAGAGAGAGAGAGAGAGAGAAGCAGAGACACAGGCAGAGGGAGAAGCAGGCTCCATGCAGGGAGCCTGACGTGGGACTTGAACCTGGTTCTCCAGGATCAGGCCCTGGGCTGAAGGCGGTGCTAAACCGCTGGGCCACCCCGGCTCCCCTCCATTCTTTCTTAATAACAAAACATTAATTTATATTCAGGGAAGCAAAGTGCTCAAAACACTACATTTCCCAAACCCCATTGCATTTATTTTCACTGTGTGACTATGTTCTGGTTAATGTAATATAAACAGAAGTACAATTGAAAAAAAACTGGAAGGCTCTCTGCAGAAAACTATGTCAGTTGAAAGTTGTACCTTTTTAATCCCTCCTTTTGTTTTCTTCTTCCTAGTATCTAAAATGTTGACTTGATGGACTTAATACTTATCTTTGATGGCTGTGGAATTAAGAAAGCCTCTATAGACTACCCTGATCCAGCTATCTTAATGTGAAAGATATCTTAAAGGCACTGCCATTTTAATGTTCTTTTTTCTATTATAAAAAAATAACTTTGCGAAAACATGGCAACTGTCCCCCAAAGTACATTTATGTTGTCAGCCTTACTATATACGTGTCTTTCATTGTGAGGAGTGACTGCAACAGTAGGTCACTTAATATTAGGCATCTCTTAACTAACTAGTTAAATGTTAAATGAATTAACGAATGGACTGTCTTTTGACCGCTGAGCTCTGTGGCATGTAGTCTAATCTGTATACCACCAGTCATTGCCAATATTTGGTTTCCTTTCCTCCTGGGTACTTATAGACTATACTTCCCAGAATTTTTGTGGTTATATTGATCCATATGTCTAATTCTGACCACTGGGTTGTGAGTAGAGGCAAGACTTAATACTTCCAGAATAAGGCAGGGAAAAGCTCCGTCCCTTTCATGAGAACTAAAAGCCCTGAGTTGAAGAGAAGACAAAAGCCAACTGAATCCTTGACTTATGTAAAGAAAGCTGTTCTGGATCTACCTGGCCTGTAGAAGTCACTTTATAAGTAAGAAATAAGTTTGTTTTGTGTCTTATCGCATTTTCTGGATATTTCAAGGTTAACTAGTTATGGCAGCAGAACTTAGACCAGCATGTACTACCATATGTACAGTTTATATTTAAATCTTCAAAGGAATTTGCAGGAGTACTGCTTTTAAAAATACTGTATTTAATAAAAAAGCTACTTACTGGGCCTCAAGGAACAATAACCAAAGTTTGAATGTTTACAGTTGTATTCTAAACACAGCAGAAATTCAGAAATACAGGGATGCCCAGGTGGCTCAGCATTTGAGTGTCTGCTTTTGGCCCAGGGCGTGATCCTAGAATCCAGGATCGAGTCCCATATCGGGTTACTTGTGGGAAGACTGCTTCTCGCTCTGCTGTGTCTCTATCTCTCTGTGTGTGTCTCTCATGAATAAATAAAATCTTTTTAAAAAAAGAAATTCAGAAATACTGATAGATCATATACCCACAATATGCTTCAATCTTAATACATCCATCTCATTCACATTTTACAGATTATTCACTCAACAAACATGCACAGTGTGCCAAATATTTCGGTGATACTATTTTGGACTCAAAGATAAAATTGTCACCATGACATCAAAAATGGCCTTATTGTTTTTGCATCTCTCTTTTTAAGATTTTTAAAAATTTATATATTTGACATAGAGAGAAGGAGAGAGAGAGAGAATGCACGCACAAGTTGGGGTGGGGTGGCAGAGAGAGAGGGAGAAGTAGACTCCTCAATGAGCAGAGAGCCCAATGTGGGCCTCAATCCTAAGACCCCAAGATCATGACTTGAGCCAAAGGCAGACGTTTAACTGACTGAGCCACCGAGGCACTCCAAGCTTTTGCATCTTTATATCAATATCATATTACATGGAATGGAGGATTAAAGAATGACAACACTACCTTGATCTTTTTAAAGATAACATCTTGCTTAAAAACATCAGTGACAAAATGCGTGGATAATTTTAACGTATTTAAAGAGCAGAATTTAAGATACGATTCTTTATAAATGTCTTATGTACAATGCTTTTATAAAGATATTTTTAATTGAACAGAAAAAGAACCTGAAAGAAAAGCTACTAGAAGATATTTGAAAATTAGCGCTCAGTACATTAGACTCTTGATAGAAATCTCAAAATATTAGTTGCTCAAAAACAATATATGTGAATTGATTCTATCATCTCTCACTGTGTAAGCAAATCTAGAATATAAACATTAAGTAAGAACATTGGGCTTAAAATAAATACTGCCAACTGCAAAAACAGATCACTGCAAATCTCTACAACTATTTTAGAATCCACTACACCCAGTGCAATCTTCTCTTAACTAGTCATTCATTCAGTGAACCGATGCTTTTATGCACCTGCCATGTGTTGGACAGTGTTCAAAGTGTCACGGAAAGAAAAATGAACGAGATAGAAAAAGCCCCTGGCCTCTTGATTCCTTGACTCTAGTGGAAGAGGATCTAGCCTATAAGGAAAGATATAAAAAGATATATAATGTCATATAATGATAAGTGCTTTTAAAAACAGGTAAAACAGGTGACTGATACATAAAAATTCATTATACTATTCTGTTCACTTTTATACATGCTTGAAATTTTGCATAGGTGGTTTAAAGGGATAGTCAGAGAAGGCCTCTCTGTGCATGTGGCAATGGAACAGAGATCCAAAAGAAGTGAAGAGGCAAGATATAAAAACATCTGGAAGAAGAATCTTTCCATCAGGATGAACAGGATGTGTAAAAAAACAAAGCATTTTGCCTTAAGGGTATATTCACACCAGCTAAACCCTTCCCAGAAATTTTCAGCTCAGTTTCTTCATTCAATGATTGTATTTATTAATGTTTATTAATAAATTGCTAATTGTATTTATTAATGTTTCTTTGTCAGGACTGATACTGTTTGGACGAATCCCTGTCATTTGTTCATTAACACATTTTTTAGCACCTAACCTACAAAAGGCACTTTTGTAGGCTCTAGAGATTATGGCAATGAACAAGAGACAAATACCTCTGTCTTTGGAGAGAGCTTCTTTCCAGTGTGATTATCTAACACATCTTTCATTCACATACACTTATTGAGTTATCTTATATGTGCAAAGTTATAGAGATAGAAAAGTATATCTCCTGTCCTTAGCAATTATGATGCGGCCCATTTCCTTTCTTGTGTCTGTCTTCTATAAGAAAAAACAGACACAAGGACATTTTATTTGACCAGCAAAGGACAGGAGCAGTTATGAAAAACAGCTCTTTCTTACCTGTCTGCTTTACGACCAACAGGCCCCGAATGCACACCCTCCCTACATGTTTGGTTTTCCAGAATAACTTTCAGTAAGAAGACAAGATTCAGGGTTCTATACATTTACTAGAGTTGAGAACACAGGCCAGATACTTGCCCTCACCAAATCCGATTTCCTTCACTTCAAAATGGACCAATCAGATATGGTGACACAAAAAAAGCCTGCTTAAGAATTGTAGAAAGCCATAAATACCAGAAATACTCTTTGTTAATGGGATCAATAAGCACCTACAGTGCACTGTCAGGTCAACTGAGAGGTCCAGTGTGAGAAGAGAAGTAGATGGGAGTGTGGTACAAAGGACCTAAAGAATCAGTTGTTTTTTCTTTTAAAGTTTTTAATTTTAATTCCAGTATAGCTGATATACAGTTATATCAGTTTCAAGTGTACAATATAATGAATGATTCAACATTTCTATACATTACTCAGTGCTCATTCTGGTAAGTGTACTCCTAATTCTGTCACCCATCTCACCCATCCCCCAACCCACCTCCCTTCTGGAAACCATCAGTTTGTTCTCTACAAGAATCTGGTTTTGGTTTGTCTCTTTTGTCTTTGTTTTGTTTCATAAATTCCACATATGAGTGAAATCATATGGTATTTGTCTTTCTCTGACCTATTTCACTTAACATTATATTCTCTAGCTCCTTCCATGTCTTTGCAAATGGCAAGATTTCATTCCTTTTTTATGGTTAAATAATATTACATTGTGTGTATGTATATATATACCACTTCTTTAACCATTCATCTATCGATGGAAACTTGGGCTGCTGCTATAGGTTGGCTATTGTAAATAATGTTGTAACAAGCATAGGGATGCATGTATCCCTTTGAACTAGTGTTTTCTCATATTCTTTGGATAAATACCAGTAGTTCTATTTTCAGCTTTTTCAGGAACCTCCATTCTGTTTTCCAGAGTGGCTATAACACTTTGTATTCTCAC